TTTATTCTATTTTTATCTTATATTTCTACTTTTTGTGGCTTTAGTGAGCACCAATTTAGTACTATTTTCTGTTCTTCCTTAAGACATAAGTTATACTTATTTTTAAAAACTATTTTTAGTAGTTGCTATAGAGTTTGCAATAGACATTTACAGCTAATCTAATACTAGTTTCAAATAACACTATACAATTTAAGGCTAGAGTAGTGTGACACCTTTAATAACCAAATAATCCTAATTCCTCCCTCCTTCTCATTCCTGTATCATTGCTGTCATTTTCTATAATTATTATTATTCATCTTGTCACTTTTAGCAGTCATCAGAAATTTATATATAAATTATTAAATGAGACTAAGGAAATGAAAATTTTATTTTCATGTTTTCTTACTTTATATAGACCCGAGTTTCATACCTATATTATTTTTTAATAATTATTTTAACTTTTTATTATAATCAAGATTGTTTCCGTGAGTGTGGAAAGGTAGGACTACAACTGAATCTTACGTAGACAATGTTTATGAGAAACAGCCTTGTTCCTGACGCCCCATTCGCTCTCAATGGAACAACCATCTCCGAATGCAACAGCTATGTGTACCTAGGTCGAGAGGTCAACATGACAAATGACCTGGCACCCGAGCTGCACAGGAGGAAGAGAGCGGCTTGGAACGCCTTCAAGAACGTCGAAGAAATAGCTAAGAGGACGAAGAACCTCCGGCTCCGGGCACATCTCTTTGATTCCACTGTTCTTCCTGCATTAACATATGCCTCAGAGACCTGGGCCCTATGCAAACAAGATGAGAACGCTATTCAGGTCTCCCCAAAGAAGAATAGAAAGAGCTATGCTTGGAATATCACGTTTCACTCAAATGAGAGAGAGAATCCGGAGTTCTGACATCCATCGACGATCAAGAATCAGGAACGCTGTCTCATATGCCAAGGTGTCGAAAATCAGATGGGCTGGTCACGTAATGAGATTTAAAGACGACCGCTGGACTAGAGCTGTTACTGACTGGATTCCACGGGATGTCAAAAGACCGCGTGGCCGCCCACCTACCAGATGGTCAGACTTCTTCATCAAGATCATGATGAAGGTTTGAGGCTCTTCATGTTCCCAGAGCGAACAGATGTCATTGGGCTACACTAGCACGCGACAGGGACAAATGGAGATGTTACTGGCGCCCGCTCGAGCAAATCGACTACTAACGGGAAGGTAAGTGATTAAGTGATTAAGTGATTTTAACTTTTTATTATAATCAAGATTGTTGACCACAAGTTACCTAAATTTTTATTTGACATCTCCATTTTTCTTTCACTTTTGAAAGATTATTTTTTAAAAGGTGGAATTTTAGGCCAGTTTTTCTTTCCTACAACAAAATACTTCATTTTTCTTACATTTCACATGCATGGGTTCTGAAGAGAAGTTATATACACCAATATTTTTTCTTCATTGGCAAGGTATTTTTCCCTCTATCACTTCTTTCTGAATTTCTAAATTGATCTTCGACTTCATGTAATTTGCTAAATGATATATCTATATATAGGATGAGCTAGTTTGTTTCTATTTTCACTTAATCACTTAACTTCCCGTTAGTCATCGATTTGCTCGAGCGGGCGTCAGTAACGTCTCCATTTGTCCCTGTCGCGTGCTAGTGTAGCCCAATGGCATCTGTTCGCTCTGGGAACATGAAGGGCCTCAAACCGATCTTTCATGATCTTGATGAAGAAGTCTGACCATCTGGTAGGTGGGTGGCCACGCGGTCTTTTGACATCCTGTGGAATCTAGTCAAAACACATTTATCTTCCTTGCTAATATCTGGGCTTCTTGGATCTGTGGTTTGATGTCTAATTCTAGTTTGGGAGGCAATTCTCATTTACTATTGTTTTGATGATTTCTTCCAGTCCTCTTTCTCTTTCTTCTCCTTATGGATTTCTAGTAGGTTTATCTTATACTTTTTGAGGCTGTTTCATAGTCTTTGGATATTCTACTTTGATTCTTTGCTCTCTTTTCTTTGTGAAGAGTTTGTTGATATAGTCTTTTAACACAAAGACATTTTTCTCAGATGAGGAATAATGAGCTCTTCAGTCATTATTTCTGTTATGATATTTTTTATCTCTAGCATTTTGTGGGCATTCTTTGTTAGAATTTATATCTGTTTACATTGCCCATCTGTTCTTGCATGTTGTCTACTATATCCATTAGAGACATTAGGCATGGAAATCATATTTGGTTTACAGTCTGATAATTTCAACATCACTGCCTTGTCTGATTCTGACACTCTTGCTTCATCTCCTCAAATTGTATGTGTATGTTGGTGGAGAAGTGTAATAGGGGGTTACTTTTGTTATGCTTTGTAATTTTGTTCTTAATAGTTGGACACAATGTACCCAACAGAAGGAATCTCAGTAAATAGGCATATAATAACGTGCTGGTAAGGTGTGTGGGAGGGAAGAGGGGGCACCCACCTCACTGTTTAGCCAGCCTGTGCTGATGTCTTTCCAGAGTGAAATGTCCAAGTGTTTCTAGGTAATTTTCCTTTCCACACTCCTTACAGGATGTCCAGAATAGGTTGGGGTTGGTGTACTTCTCCTAGATTAGTTAGGCTCTAATAATACCCTAGAAGGTTAGGATCTGATTATCTATTTTCCCCCGAGGGTCAGCCTTGTTCAGAACAGAGAGCATATTTCCAAATGATTCCCTTCCTCTCCCCATGCCAGAAAAACAAGGCCTTTTTATTATTATTATTATTATTATTATTATTCACTATTTACTGCAGAAAACTTTTGACCTCTTAAAGATAAATGTTATGTTGTTGAGCATCTCCTATGTCTGGGTCCTTCTGGAGATTTATTACTGTTATTATGATTGGGGTCACACCCAGAATGTAGGAATAGAATCCAAGGTCTTACACTGGTAAAAGATGTACAACATCCACAACCCTGCCCCAAACTCCTTCGAGATTTTAATTTATCATACCTACCTACATTGTGCTTCCAGCAACTCATCATTCCCTGGTTGATTTACTTACACAATTCCTTGGTGATTTTTGCTAGCGAGTCTCTGCTCTTGCAAGTCAGTACTCTTCCTATTCACCTGTACCTTTTATCTTTAATATGGAAGGTAGAGGGTTCCCAAGTATATTACCCATCTCTCACAGAGCCAGAAAGACCTACTGAGTTTCAGTTTGTTCCACATCTTTCACTTAATTTTGGGACAGAGGAATGACTCCCAAACTCATTACCTGCAGATCCAGAAACAAAGTTCAGCTTTTCATAAACCTGTGTTAGTTTACATAATCAAAGTAGTTTCAGACGTCTCAGGGGATCTGGGAGGTAGAAGAGCATGCAGGATGTCCTCACTCTGTCGACTACTTAACTATGCACCAGAGGTTCGTGTGGAAATTCCCCTAAATTGAACTGTAGTCTTGAACAGGGTAGATTGATCACTTACTCACTTGGATTTGTATTATGTATCTTTAACTATCTCCCATTCTCCTGCCAAGTTTCATTTATAGGTGCTTACCTGTAAGTTCTACCTTTGAATTTCTTCTTTTTTCTTACCCTAGTCTTCTGTACTGGAGGCAATTCTTTTAACATGTTTAAAAATCACTGATATGCAAATAAGAATTTCTGCCTGAGCAAAATTCTGACTGGTGTGCTCAAGAGCCCTAAGAAATTCACACTAAACATGTTACAACTGGAGTTCATTTTTTTCTCAAACCTGCTCTTCCTCCGCAGTGCATTTCACAAGACAGTTCTTCCATCTAGATACCTAATCAGAAATCTAAGAATTATTTTATCTCCTCCACAACCTCACATATCATGTTTTGAGTTACTGTCTTAGGATTTCATCTGACTTACTCTCCACTCCCACAACTATAGTCTGTTTGTTATCTTTTGCGAGAACTGTTGCTAAAGTGTTCTAACTGCCCTTATCTCCAACCTCTGTTTTCCAGATTAGTGCTGCCAGATGTTTAAAAATGGAAATACAGACATTTAATTCCCCACTAGAAAACTTTGATTTTCCACTGTTTAAGCTGAAGTAGATATTCAGTTCCTTCAATATGGCTCATGAAACTGTACCAGCTTCAGCGAGCCAGTCCAAATGCAACATTCTGGCTAATACTCTCTTCATTAATACCCTTTCCCTATGGCCAGGGGAAGACCTGGCAAGCATGGTCTTTTAGGTCTCCTAGATTGCTCAATGCACCTATCTGGAGCAGCCCTTTCCAGTTATTCACCTTCCTTCCTCCATCTCATATTCATATATATATTTCTCATTGAACCTACAGTATTTTGATTACACTGAACTGATTACAAGTCTAACAGTATAATCTCTTGCTAACATCAAGTATATCCGGCTTCGAAACTCAGATGCCTAGCACTGTACTTAGATTATGATCAAGGTGATCAAATGACTAAGTTTGCATTCGTTGACCTGTTTTGCTAGGCAGATAAATTACAAACGGTGATCTTTCACCTAGCACATTACACCGTAAACGTTTGAATGAGTGAATGAACAGATTTTCCTTAATTCGTTCAGGGTTCCGCGCACTTAATATATCTAGTCGGAATTCAAAGAACAAAGAAATGCTTTGGTCCATACTTTCCCTCACCTGACTTAATATTGCTGCAAGTTCTCTTGGGCAAAACAGTAGTCAATTGCCTTTTGGACTCGCTGTAAGGCTTCAGAGTGCCTTAGCTTATCATCTCATTAGGTAACCATCAGGTATATTAACTGATGCCAGACTTTCAAAAGTTCAATAGGTGAATAAATAGTCGTACAGTGTAGGCTGAGATGCAAGAACACACACCGTCCCGAGCAAATGATTGCAGAATCACGGCACAACTGAATCCTGTTGACAGCTGGCGCAAAGCGACGGACTTTGCCCCAAACAAAGATGGCGCTCGTAACGTCCCTGCCCCACCCTCTGCCGACCAATCGGAATCTAGAACTCAGGGTAACCGCGTCTTCACTTCCGCCTCGCTTTCCCGGACGTTTCTAAATAATCTCTCCGGCGAGTTCGGACCGGGACCTTACGACCCGCCGGGGCTTCGGCGGCGGCGGGAGGGATGAACGTGTCGCGCGGCGGAGTGGCGCGGACTCTGCGGGTGCCGGGCCGCCACGGCTACGCCGCCGAGTTCTCCCCGTACCTGCCGGGCCGCCTGGCCTGCGCCACCTCACAGCACTACGGCATTGCGGGTGAGGACGGATCGCGCCGCGCCGCCGGGGCGGGGGCGGGTTGCCGCCGACCTCCAGCTCCTGCCGGACGTGGGAAAGCGCTGCCGACCGCAGGCAGTACCGCGGAGGAACGCCAGGGGGCAGCGGACCCCACCACCACCCCCATCTCCGCGGGCCGCCCCGGCCCGGCGCGCGCCTGCGTCCTTTTGGGGAGTCTTTCTCTGCAGACGGGCTCGCCTTTTAGGAGACCGTGTAGAAGTAGCACGTGGAAGGTGCCCAGGTCCTTCATCCTTTAAAGGCTCGCCGGCTTCGCCGCCACCTGATACCTCCTCCCCTAGGGCCCACGTCGCGGGGCCTGGAGCAGTTTTGGTGCCTGGGTGGGACAAACAGCTCCGGACTGATTGGTCTGCAGGGTCCCCTCCCACCCCCCAGCTAAAATCGAATCCCATTTTTGCACATTCAGTTTCCCAGCAGTGATTGCTCGGAAGGATGCACTTGAGCACCCACCCGAGCGGACTGAATTTTTCCCGCCTTGTAGGGTCATGAAATCGATCAAGTTCTGCCCTCACTTGTAGTCTCTAGAGAAGTACACGCGGTTTGTTGCAAGCCTTATCTGAGGTTCGGCCCCTTTTCTTCATTTTGCTGTTTTTTTAAAAAAAAAATTCTTAATATCCCAACCGCATGAACGCAATGAAGCTCCGTGAAACAAGTGTCTACCTAATTGCATTTTTGTCGTAGTTTTCAATTGGTTCTACTGCAAGGACAGCAAAAGACACCCCCCCCCCCCCAAACAAAACAAAACGAAACCCAACAATAACAACAAAACTTAAGTTAACAAAACTTGCTTTCTAAAACTTAAGAGGGAGAGAACTGTTTACTACTTAAAATATTTTACCATTAGTTTTTAGTTCGTGTACATTCAGATTTCCAGTACTTCGCCACCAATAGGTTGAAGATGCATGAATTTATAATCTTTTAAGTTAAATTCAAAAAGTATAAAACAAAAACTCACCTTAAAAGGTGTGTTTTGAAAAGTTGGCCATGTTTAAGTACAAGTCTTTTGCTTGCCCCCACTACCATCATAACTACATCTTTTATTGATTTGTTTTGGCCCCACATCCAGCAGTGGTCAGTGCTTAATCCTGGCTCTGTGCTCAGGTATCACTCCTGAGGTTGCTATGGGGATCATATGGGGTGCTGGGGATGGAACCCACCCTGACAGCATGTAAGGCAAGCGCTTTGCCTGCTGTACCATCTTTCCGGCCTCTAACTACACCGTTTAAATTATGCTAGACTTTTAGAAAATTGTATTGGTACACACAGTATGTGTTCAAGCATGTGAACTTTATCAGCAAGCATGTGGTAAATTGCAGCAGGTATTTTGTTTTAAAATTCCATCTTAAGTGTATTTGAATATTTAAAATGTTCAGGGGAAGCAGTGAGTGAGGAGGAGCACAATCTCACTGTCCTGTTCCCTTGAGATTTCTCACCTGTGAATGGGGATGGGGTGACAACCCTTAGTGGGGTAAGTCTGTACTCTAGCACCCTGTGTTCAGTTCTCTCTTCACTCTGTGAGTCTAGGTTCCAGTCTTAGGTGCCGTAAGAAGTCTAAAGACTGAAGCACAATGGGAAGGTGAATGAGCTCAGCTCTGATAAGTGTGTGGTGGTGAAATTGGATGTTCCCTCCTGGAGACTTTCTTTTTGCTTTTTGGGTCACACCCAGTGATGCTCAGGGATTACTCTTGGCTCTGCACTCAGGAATTACTCCTGGTGGTGCTTGGGGAACCATATGGGATGCAGGGGATTGAACCCAGGTCTGCTATGTGCAAGGCAAATGCTCTACCCACTGTACTATTGCTCCAGCCCCTCCTGGAGACTTTCTTGACCTGAGATATCCCTGGGCAGTTTCGCCCCTGATCTCGGTGTTTTTCTCCTTAGGTTGTGGAACGCTGCTAATATTGGATCAAAATGAATCGGGGCTTAGGATTTTTAGAAGGTAAGGTGCCTTTAATTATTAAACATATCTTTCCGTTTTAAGTTTCTTGTAGTGCTTTTCTCATAAAGCTAGGGTTTGATTTTCTAGTTTGACTCATCGATCAATAAGATGTTTTATTTTGCAATATTAAAGGAACATTTTGAGGTGTAAAAGTTACTTTTGCTGGTAAATTGTAACTGTGTCACTCTCTTCTAACGTGCTTGTCTCCTTTATAAATTATGACTCTTCAATATTTTTTAAAAGGACTGAATTTATATATAGGGAGTGACATTGCCTAATCTTTGCTATCTTTGAAAAATCAATCAAATTTTTAAAAATTTTGGGCACTGTGAGTTAAGAACAGTTGTGAGTAGGGGTTCACATGTGAGCTGTCCAGGACCACATCCTTCAGCCTGGCATCTGCTTCCCTCTACTATGGTCCTCTGGCAGCCTTTGTCCCTCATCCACTCACCCTCTCCCCGTGGTAAGCTTCCTACTGAACATAACTTCTCAATTTCTGTTGCCTCTGGGCATTTGTAACTCCCCTATTTTATTTCTTCATATGCTACACATGAGTGAGATATGGTGTCTGTCCCTCTCTTTCTAACTTCAGTCAGCGTGATACTCTCTAGCTCATTCATTGTGGCAGCAAATTTCATGTTTTCTTTTTTTCTCTCTCTCTTTTTTAAAAATTTATTTATTTATGGAGCGATAGCACAGTGGTAGGGCGTTTGCCTTGCACGCAGCCAACATGGCCGACCCGAGTTCGATTCCTCCGCCCCTCTTGGAGAGCCCGGCAAGCTACTGAGAGTGTCTCGCCCGCACGACAGAGCCTGGCAAGCTCCCCATGACGTATTCGATATGCCAGACACAGTAACAACAAAGTCTCCAATGGAGACGTTACTGGGCCCACTCGAGCAAATTGAATCACTATGAGAAAAGTTACAAAGCTTTCAGGTTTAAGTCTCAGTCATGCAGATATCAAACACAATACTTATTTTTCACCACGAAGAACCCCAACAACCCCCCCCACCCCTCCCAATGCATGTGAGGCAGATGAATTCTAGTTAACACTCTATCTACTTTGACTAGATTCATTGTTTTGACAAAAGATGCACCATTATTATTTAGAGTTTACACCCCCAGATCAGACATGCTGAAAAGGCATTGTGAAATAATTTGTTTTCTACAGCTGGTCACAAGAACCAAATGATGTCGCACGGCCGTGATAGCAGCCACGCGATTTTGGATTTCTGGTATTTTACTTATTAACCCTGGAAGTATTTCTGCTGAGAGTCAGATAGTTATGAGATTGGTTTCTGTGCTTTGGAGCCATGGCCGTGCTGGAGAGCTGCTCGTGGGGGGCAACTCGTGACCTCGGTAGGGCGTGAATTACGAGCCAGGAATGCCTGCCCCCCTTCCCATGAGGTGTCAGTACCCCGTCATGACCAGCTCATACCTGGCTTTCCACAAAGCTCCCAAGTGGCTGCCGTCTTTCTTTCCAGAGGGAAAAAGGCGGAAGGGACCAACACCGTTTTCCCTCCGGGCAGGCATAGTGGTGTGGATTAAGGCATAGTCCATTCACTTTTCTGCTGCAAGCTGCCGGGCTCTGGATTAAGTCCTTGTGCTTCTGGAGCCATGGCTGTGCCAGAGAGCCATTCCTAGGGGCAACTCGTGACCTTGGTAGGGCATGAAGGACAAGCCGGGAATGCCCCCCTTCCCATGAGGTTTCATGTTTTCTTATAGCCAAGTAGTAATCCACTGTGTACATGTCCCACCGTTTCTTTATCCAGTCATCTGATCTTGGGCACATGGGTTTTCCAGATTTTGGCTATTGTGAATAGTGCTGCAGTGAGGAGAGCAAATATCTTTTTTCTTTTTCCTTTTTGGGTCACATCCGGAAATGCATAAACACAGGGGTTACTGCTGACTCTGCACTCAGGAATTACCCCTGGCGGTGCTCAGGGGACCACATGGGATGCTGGGAATCGAACCCAGGTCGGCCACGTGCAAGGCAAATGCCCTACTGGCTGTGCTATTGCTCCAGCCCCGCAAATATCTTTTCTAAGTTGAGTTTTTGGGTGCTTAGGGTAGATGGCCAAGTAGAGTTGCTGTGTGATCTGAAAGCTCAGTTCCTAGTTTTTTAAGAAGTGACCATATGTTTCCCAAAAAGGCTGAACCAGTCACTGTTCCTAACATCCCAGTGAATGAGGGTTCCTTTTTCCCCACATCCACACCAACACTTTCTTTTGGTTGTTGTTCTTTCTGATAACGTGCCAGTCTCACGGGTGTGAGCTGATGTTTCATTTGTGATTTTGCTTTACATTTTCCTGTTTATAAGTGATGCAGAGCATTTTTTTTCATGTACCTTTTCTATGCCTTTACATTGAGAAAAACAGGTAGAATACTTCATGACATTGAATCTTCAACATTCAGAAAGTTTGGCCAAGCAAACTAAAACCAAGATTGATGGGACTATGTCAGCCTAAGAAGCTTCTGTACCACAAAGGAAATGCTAGCTGGAATAAAAAGACCCCACAGACTGGGAGAGGATATTTGCGCACCACTCATTGGATAAAGGGTTGATATCCAAAATATATAAAGCAGTAGCTCTACAAACAAACAAACCAAAACCAAAATAGCCAACCCCATTTAAAAATGGTCGGTAAAGATGTACAGAAACCTTTGCTGTCTTTTAAAATTATTTTGGTGCTGAGGCAAGAACCCAGGGCCTCACCCTGGGCGAAGCTTGATCTTTTATGCTGAGCAATATCACGGGCCTCTGTGCCGTCTTCTTTCTTTTATTGGAGGGGGGGGGGGGACAGGGAGAGTCACACCAGCCATGCAAGGGGTCCTTTCCCTGTACTCAGGGGCTACTCCCAGGTCTGTTCAGGAGACCATATGGGCATAGAGCAAGGACCTCCCTCCCCACCCCCCATTTTCAAAGCACACACTCCAGCCTACTTACTGAGCTCTCTTCTCTCTTTTTTATATATATATACATATATATGTATTTATTTATTTATTATTTGTTGAATCACCATGAGAACAGTAACAAAGGCTTTTCAGTTCACGTCTCTGTTGGTCATACAATGATCAAACACCCGTCCCTTCACCAGTGCACATTTTCCACCACCAAGAACCCCAGTATACCTTCCCTCCCACCCACCTCCCACCTGTGTGGCAGATTTCCACTTTACTCTCTCTTTCTCTCTCTAAGTTGATCACATTCAATATTATGACAAAAGACCCACCACTGTTATTTGGAATTTTCCCCAACATTCAGACCTGCCACAAAGACATCATTAGAAAATTTGTTTTCTAATGTTGATTATGAAGAGCATATGATGTTGTGTGGCTACAATAGCGGCCACACGAATTTGGAATTCTAATATTTTAGTAAAAAACCTAGAGGGATTACTGCCAGAAGCCCCTGAGTTCCAAGATTAGTATGTGTGCCTCTGGGTTCATGGTCAGTCAGAAGCCAGACGAGGCATTTGAGGGTGGCAACCTGGAGCATTGTCATGGTGAGGAGCAGGACTGATTCCACCCCCAATCCCATGAAGCCCCATGTGTCTTACTGAGCTCTCTTGCCCCGATGTTGACTTCCTAGTGGAAGTTTGCTTTACTCAGTCAGCAGCTATGTCTCCATTTTGTGGAGTATTAGTGCCTCCTTCTCCTTTCCATCCTGTCTTATCTCTGTTACTGTTGGTCTCAACATGACCATCAGGATTAGTTAAAGGTAGGGAGATGAAATTCTGCCAGAAAATATATACATGCTCATGGCACAGGTGAAAGAGTTTATGGAGAAAGCTGAAATTGTTTTAAATTAGCACTTGATATCCTCATGCAGGAGCATTTGCCAACCGAGGTTTGATCCCTAACATGTGGCTGACACAGGTTCGATCCCCGGCTTCCCATATGGTCCCTCAAGCACTGTCAGGAATAATGCCTGAGTGCAGAGCCAGGCGTAAGCCCTGAGCATTGCCGGGAGTGACCCAAATAGCAAAGACAAAAACAAATTATCTGTCTTTTGAACCACAGAAACTGAGCCTCTGAGTGTGGTAGCATGCCCAGACCCCTGTTCCCATCTCCCGCTGGGAGGCCTGTTTCATTCTGGCTCTTCAGTTTTCTCGCCCTAACCCTGTACCTGGGCTGTTTTTCTAACCTCTCTGGCTTTGCTTCTGCTTTTCTCAGGTACAGTCCTGGTTCATTTTTCATAGTTGTGAACATAGAGCGAGGTAGTCGATTCACTTAAGTGATAAGTTATAAAGGAAACCTCGTAATACTGTTCTGTTGTTCTTGTTCAGCCGTCCACATAACTAGATTTTTTTGTTTGAATTTTTCTGGTATAGCTTTGACTGGAATGACGGTTTGTTCGACGTGACCTGGAGTGAGAACAATGAGCATGTTCTGGTCACCTGTAGTGGCGATGGCTCTCTGCAGCTCTGGGACACGGCCAAGGCCACAGGGCCTCTGCAGGTCTACAGGGAGCACACTCAGGAGGTAAGGTCCGAGCAACTCGAGCGGCTGCTTGTCCTGGGGAAGAAATGCACTGGAGGTTGGACAAGGAAATATCTACAGGGAGTAAGAAATTTATGCTTGGAGTGTTTCTCGTACTTCTTAGATGTCATACACTGTTTGACTGTGCAAACTCAAAAATACCTCTTGGTCAGAGAAACTGGTAAAGAAGGAAAGGTCAGACTTCTCATTAGTCACTAAAAATGCTTCCAGTAGCAAGTGAAGTAGGGCATCATTTTCTCTGGAGGCCCCTTATCTCTGCTCTGTCTGCCTTTTGCTGCCGTAAGGTAGATGTGGGTGGACTTTTCGCTAAGGCAGGGTGAGATCACCTTTAGGGTGCCAGTAAAATTTCTCTGGATTTTCAGAATATGTTGGAGCCAGGGCACAACTGAATAGGAGGGTAGAGCTTAGAGAAAAACTTTAAAAATTAAAATCTGGTTCATGTTTCTATGTATTTTTAATGAATGCAATAAAGATATTCTCTTTTGGTGAAACACTGTAATCTTTAAAATATTTTTTCCTCAAGGCATCAAATGGATCCTTCGAATGAAAACTTGCAAAATTTGCTTTCAAATTTGTGTCTGCCAGAAGCTCCACAGAGGGCCCTGAGTAAATGCCTATTAAATGTGACTATATTAGTATTTTGTGAGAAAAGATGAGTTGTAAGAGACTTCTAGACATCATCTGGAAAGTTTCGTGCACAAATCCCCACAGAGAGACCAAGAAGATAGCTACAGTTAGTAAGAATGATAATTTCCAACTTTGTAGCTCAAAATGAAATGAAAAAATTTAGTTCTTTCACTATAAGTCACTTTGAATTAATACAGTGATTAACTAAGTTACCATGTTTTCATAGAATCAGTGTAAAGACAACTTTGGAAAGGGGACACTTTCACTTTAGAAAGTTTTGTGGAAAACTCCCCACAGAGAGATCAGGAAGGTAGGTCAGAAGGGAAGAGTGATGTGAATGTGAGGCTGAGTTTGGTCCCCAGCATCACATGAATCCCCTGACTCCCAGCACAGCTGGGGAGATACCTATTAAAAATTACAAAGTAGCATGTCCACAATTTAGACTTTTTCTGGTTAGACTCATAATTTTCATTGTCTTATTACATCACCTGTAGTATTAAGGTTTGTCTTCCCTTAAAATATTTTTTTCCCTTAAAGAGTTCTTTTCATTTTCTTACATTTTTGCTCTTACTTTATCCTGAAATACAATGTTTTAGTGTTCATGAAATTGTGGACTTGATAACTCATTTAGAGTGTGTGTTTAAAAAAGTATAATGTAAAATATTTAAAAAAAATAGAATGTACCATTGAAAGAATCTCTTATATAGCCAGAGGTACATGTATTGCTCACTAGAAAATACTATTCTAAAATGTTCTTGATAAATAATCAGGAACTTCATCCTGTAAAAGTGATTTTTACTATCTTGTGGTGGAAACTCATTTGACTTTTTGATTGTCTAATGGTGAGAAAATTGCTTGTCCTAAGCCGATATCTCTTTTCATGATAACCAACTGTTGTACCTAATGCCCTTCTCTAAAGTGGTGAGACTAAATGCAGTTCCCCTTTTCTAGGAGGAGTTTTTTTTTTTTTGGACCACACCTGAAGATGCTCAGGGTTTACTCCTGGCTCTGCACTCAGGAATTACTCCTGGCAGTGCTTGGGGGACTGTGTGGGGCACCAGGGATCAAACCTGGTTCTATTGCTTGGGCCCAGGGGAGGACTCTTAAAAATGGCTTTTCGCTCTCTACCTCGTCCTTCTTTTATTTATTTATTTATTACATTTTTATTAGTGAAACACCATGAAGTACAGTTGTAGACTTACAAATTTTTGTGTTTGGTTTTCGGTTATACAATGATCAAATACCCATCCCTCCACCAGTGCCCATTTTCCACCACCACGGGTCCCAGTATCCCTCCCACCCACCCCCATCCCCCCCATTCCACCCTGCCTATGTGGCAAGGCATTCCCTTTTGTTCTCTCTCTCCTTTTGGATGTTGTGGTTTGCAAAAGAGGCATTGAGTGGCAATCATGTTTGGTCTATAGTCTATTTTCAGCATGCTTCTCCCATCCTGGGAGGATCCTCCCTTAATCTCTTAATCATTTAACTTCCCGTTAGTGGTCGAATTGCTCGAGTGGGCGCCAGTAACATCTCCATTTGTCCCTGTCGCGTACTAGTGTAGCCCAATGCCATCTGTTCGCTCTGGGATCATAAAGAGCCTCAAACCGATCGTTCATGATCTTCACGAAGAAGTCTGACCATCTGGTAGGTGGGCGGCCACGTGGTCTTTTGACATCCCGTGGAATCCAGTCAGTAACAGCTCTAGTCCAGCGGTCGTCTTTAAATCTCATTACGTGACCAGCCCATCTGATTTTTGACACCTTGGCAAATGAGACAGCGTCCCTGATTCTTGATCGTCGACGGATGTTGGAACTCCGGATTTTTTCTCTCATTTGAGTGAAACGTAATATTCCAAGCATAGCTCTTTCTATTCTTCTTTAGGAGATCTGAATAGCGTTCTCATCCTGTTTGCTTAGGGCCCAGGTCTCTGAGGCATATGTTAATGCAGGAAGAACAGTGGAATCAAAGAGATGTGCCCAGAGCCGGAGGTTCATCTTCTTCTTAGCTATTTCTTCGATGTTCTTGAAAGCGTTCCAAGCTGCTCTCTTCCTCCTGCGCAGCTCGGGTGCCAGGTCATTTGTCATGTTGACTTCTCGACCTAGGTATACAAAGCTGTTGCATTTGGAGATGGTCGTTCCGTTGAGAGCGAATGGGGCATCAGGAACGAGGCTGTTTCTCATAAACATTGTCTTCGTAAGATTCAGCTGTAGTCCTACTTTTCCACACTCACGGTCAAAGTTGGCCAGCATTTGTGCCGCTTGGCTGATGTTTGGTTTTATTAAAACAATGTCATCAGCAAAGCGGGGGTGGTGTAGTTGCCGACCATCTATCTTCACTCCCATTCCTTCCCATTCCAGTTGTCGCATGATGTTCTCGAGGGTGGCACTGAAGAGTTTTGGTGAAATGGTATCACCCTGCCGAACCCCTCTCTTGACATCAACGATCACTTCTTTGTAGAATGGTGAGATCCTGGTAGTGAATCCGCAATACAGCTCACGGAGGATCTTGATGTATTGGGCTTGAATCCTCCCAGCACCCTTTATTTGGTTCTCCCTTTCCTGTCTGAGCTCCCTTTTCCCCTAGCATGTGTGGCTGGCCTCCAAGCCATGGAGCGAACCTCCTGGTACTAATCTCGGCCACTCTTGGGCATTAGTCCCCTATTTTGTTACTTTATGTTCCCCAGATGACCGAGCTTTTGTTATTCCTGAGTGTCTCCTCAGGTTACAGTTCTCCACATCTTTTATCCTTCTGTTTTTTAGCATTGCTTTAAACCCAGAAATATGATGGTTGGTAAGCTTTTCATAAGATCTTGCTACCATGATCTTGAGCCTGTAGGAGCTGAAGGAGTTTGGAGTCAGGGGTGGACTTTGGCTTACTGGGAGAGAGACATGAGGCCATAAAGATGCAAGAACTTCTTGCAAGAACTACAGTCCATGGAGAACTGTCAACAAAAAACCCCTCACTCTCCCTTAGGGCTTCAGAACGTGGCAAAGTGACAGTTGGAGAGGGGCAGAAGGGGGCATTAAGGCATTTAGGAGGTGGGCTCTTTGTTCAAAGATGTGGGTAAGAGTCCACTCTGTGAACAATGAAGTCACTTGGCATTGTGACCTGGCAAGGGGGCTGGGAAACTGAGCCCAGTGAATACCCGTTTCTCCAAGTCTAGCTCTGACAGCAGGGTTCCAGGGGTGCAGAAGCACCTCTGGAGCCCACCCAGTTGAGTGGAAGGTGTTTCGGTCCTATGCAGTGGGAACTTGACTTGGCTGTATGTTTATCCTAGCCATAGTGCTGGATTCCTGTGCATTCACTAGAAAAGCACTTAGATCTTTGCCATTTTAACTGTTGGACCTGGAAGCTGCTGAGACATAGCTTGGAAAGCGGGGAAGGGTTACCTGGAAGGGTGGGGAATCAGGCAGAGGATGAGGAGGTGTGATGTTGCACCAGGGCGGTTAATATGATGGAGATCTGACTTGGAGAATCCATCTCACTGCCTTCAAGGTAAAAGGGCAAGATAAAAAGTGATGTCCCTGACTCGGACGTTCTGAGTGGGGAAAGCTTCCTCAGAGACCTCCTGCTGCGCCACATCGCAGCCTTTTTGTCTGAGTGACTGGAAGAGCATCCCAGGCCTGATCCTGTCGGGGTCCTGGCCAGTCGACCCTGACACACTGGAGTATGATCCCCCTGGTCACTGAACTTACTCCCTATAGGAGAGGGAGTGGGAAGGTGGGAAGGGGAGAAGCCTCTTCAGTGGCCCTCCGCGCACCTGCGGACTCCCACCGCCACCACCGAAAGAACCACGCGGAGTGGGGGAAGCTGTGGTCAAGCAGCAATTTGTTTATTAACTCTCATACAAGGGTTTTTATACATGCATTTCAGGGGGCAATCCACGTGTATCACTTTTTCCTTGTCAGGCTCAATTCAGATGTTAGTTAATGATTTGCATCTCCCGCTTTCAGGGCCAATTGTAGTAGCTCAGGCAGATGGTAACTATTACATCCCTCATCCTCAACCAGAGTGCCTACGTGTGTGGAGTGCTGGAGCAAGCCCCTGGGCCCCTGTAAACAGCGCCAGCTCTTTCTTTCAGGGGCAGGGGATTTAGTCTGAGTCTCAGGCCGGCTACTGAGACCCCAACATGGTCCTAACCCTGTCACCTGTGAGGGAAGCAAACCGCTTACCTGCACACCTGAACAAGGTTTAGCATTGGGACATGGAATGGACAGGACTTTTCCTGAGGAGAACACTGGGTTCTGTAAGCAAGGAAGAAAGAGAAGTTGTCTGTTGGGGAGACAAACATCACTGTATCCCAACATTAATGCTCATCTTTCTCACAGTTTTTAGAAAAAGACAAATATTGCCAA